ATATTGTACAGAGGCACCCGGTCTACTCTAAGACTTTTCCCTGGAACATTAGAACGCTAACGCTAAAACCCCGGCAACTCTAGCATTAGTACAAAATGGCCGATTACCGGCTGACCGCTGACGCTCTGAAAAGTTATCTGCTTCAAGCTAGCTTTTGCTGATGCAAATTCCCGATTTCTGGATATGGAGTCCAAAGTTTCCATCGCCCAGCTATTGAGCTGAGTGCTTGTTGTGACTCTGAGCTATGTGTATCATATGAAATGTTTTATCTGATCGCTTGTTTTAACAATCAGCTGCAGTTCTAGTTTGGGACCGTCTGTGTTGGCATTTTCAAATGATGACAGTGAAGTATATTTTGTTTCTTTTCAACTTGAACAGGTAGACAACTGTGGGCGACCCGTCTACTGTGATGTTGGAACCTCAACTAATGACTAGAACAAACTTCTTCATGATCGATCCCATAAGTCCAGTTTTGCACTTCTCTATCTTTTTTTTTTTTTTTAGTCACGAAGACGGCGGGATTATTAGATGGTTGTGTCATCCTCCGAATCCTCAGTGAAGCAACAATGACAGGCTGGACCAAATGTGTTAATTACCTGCGGTGAAAACACACAGAATCACGACCCTGATGATGAGAAGTTTCAACCATTAATATCTTAAGTGAAGCAAATGCATCATCAACGGGACATCCATCGTTCCTGCGCCAGCTGTCTTCAGTGTACGGTTCCTTAACACTCTCTGTTATGTTGTTGTTTACATATGTCCTGTAGTTTCACATCTGTTTGAGTGTGCGTATGATATGTCCTTATGTCCGCACGTCTGTAATACCTGTCTACCTTATCACCGGTTCGCTTGTGAGTATGGTGTTTATTTGTTTGGATGTTTATCTAACGACACAGAAACCTGCTCATTTCTTTACTAAATACTTCGGTATGTCTGTCTATTCCACTCTCTCCATATCTGTCCTGTCTCTTAATCTGTCTGCTGGATTTACCTCTGCCTATCTGTCTTACGGTAGGCTCTTCTGTTTTTCTCACTCTTTTTCTCTCTCTGTCTGTGTGTGTGTGCGTGTGCGTGTGTGTGTGTGTGTGTGTGTGTGTGTGTGTGTGTATTAGTCTCTCTGCATTCCTTTTTTGTTTTTGTCAGTTTCACAGTTTAACTACACAATCAAATACCTCTGTGTACCTCTGTTTGCCTCTCTTGATTGGTCAGTCGTCTGTATAAATGTTAATCAGATGATTTTTAAGTTTGTTGGTTGCCTGACTGTGTGTCAGTTGGCTATGTTTACGTTTGTCTTTCGGGGCACAAACAGCATCAACGTCAACACTAGCAACATCGACACCAACAGCTTCAATATCGACACCAGGAATATCAACAGCCACAAGACTAAAATCAAGAGCATAAACACCAACAACACTAGCATCAATACCAACAACACTAGCTTGAATACCAACAACACCAGCATGAATACCGAAAACATCAGCATAAACACTAACAACACCAGCATGAATACCAACAACACCAGCATAAACACCAACAACACCAGCATAAATACCAACAACACCAGCATGAATACCAACAACACCAGCATGAACACCAACAAGATCAGCATAAACACCAACAATACCAGCATGAATACCAACAATACCAGCAAAAACACCAACAACACCAGCATGAATACTAACAACACCAGCGTGAATACCAACAAAACAAGCATGAATACCAACAACACTAGCATGAATACCAACAACACCAGCATGAACACCATCAACACCAGCATAAACACCAACAATACCAGCAAAACACCAACAATACCAGAATGAACATAAAGAACACTTGCATGAATACCAACAATACCAGAATGAATACCAATGACACCAGCATGAATACCAACAACACCAGCATGAATACCAACAACACCAGCATGAACACCATCAACACCAGTATAAACACCAACAATACCAGCATAAACACCAACAATACTAGCATGAACACAAAGAACACTAGCATGAATACCAACAATACCAGCATGAATATCAACAACACCAGCATGAACACCAACAATACCAGCATGAATACCAACAATACCAGCAAAAACACCAACAACACCAGCATGAATACTAACAACACCAGCGTGAATACCAACAAAACAAGCATGAATACCAACAACACCAGCATGAATACCAACAACACCAGCATGAACACCATCAACACCAGCATAAACACCAACAATACCAGCAAAACACCAACAATACCAGAATGAACATAAAGAACACTAGCATGAACACCAACAACACCAGCATAAATTACAAAAACACCAGCATGAATACCAACAACACCAGCATAAATACCAACAACACCAGCATGAATACCAACAACACCAGCATGAATACCAACAACACCAGCATAAATACCAACAACACCAGCATAAATTACAAAAACACCAGCATGAACACCAACAACACCAGCATAAATACCAACAACACCAGTATGAATACCAACAACACCAGCATAAATACCAACAACACTAGCATGAATACCAACAACACCAGCATGAATACCAACAACACTAGCATGAATACCAGCATGAATACCAACAACATCAGCATGAATACCAACAACACCAGCATAAATACCAACAACACCAGCATGAATACAACAACACCAGCATAAATACCAACAACACCAGCATGAATACAACAACACCAGCATAAACACAAACAACTCCAGCATGAATACCGACGGCACCAACATCAACACCAGCATCATCAACACCAAAAGCAACAACTGCACCAACACCGACATTAACAACTACACCAACAACCTCAACTGGCAAGCGGAAACACAGCCATTAAAAAACAATTAAAGTTCTCTGTGTTCCCGTCTTTTTCTTAACTTCTTTCATTTATTTATCTTACCATCCTGTCTTCTATCTGGCATATCCTGTTTATTGCAATTCTTTGTCAGGAAGTCGCTATCTTTATTCATCTTAGGGAAACCAGTTTCTCTTCCTAAGTCATTTCATTATGTTTACCTAGAATGTGGCGCCTATCTTCCGTTGATCAGCGGACATAAAATTCTCTTTTCTCTACTCTTCCTGTATCCGGACGTCCTCATCTCAATGCCATTAGTCGTCTGTCCTTCCCTTCCCCACTACTCTCATAGTTGATACCATTCTCGTCTTGTTCATCCTGTACCTTGCGCCGCTGTCCAAGTGAATTATAAACAGCCGAGAGGATCTGTTTACGTGTTTCGTGTATGGGTTTCCTTGTTATTCCTTCTGTCCATTGCTTCCATGGTCGACCTCTCTTTATTTTTGTAATTTGGTTTCTATGTGGTCTGTACATGATTGCTAGTGAGGCATGTCTTGTGTTGACTGTGGTGTTATATGGCCCAAACATTTCACCTGTTTTTTTTTTTTTTTTTGCTACCACATTAATTTTGTTCCCCATTATTTCTCATCTTCCTCTCCTGAATATGCTAAGTGCAACTGGCCTAAATTTGACCCGAGCTGTCATTGATACCATTCTGGTTATCTGACAATATGCAATGAGTTCGCACATGAGAGATATTTAAACAAAGGGAAAGTGCATCGTGCTAATGGGGTCACCGGATATCCTAATATTACGAAGGGAAGTGAACTGTTCTGTCATCTTTCACAATCACAAACCAACTGTAAGAATGAACGACGCTATGGCAAGATTTAGGACTTTCCTGGCTTTACTAAAACAAGCCATAACAACCGCGCCATCGGTGGTAGTTAGCAAGGAGAACCTCTTGTTAGCAGACTGTACTTTAGTTTTCTTTACTTGCAGCTGTCTGCATGCAACAACTCCCGTGCTGTGTGTGTCTTTCTTTCTGTCTGTCTTTCTTTCTGTCCGTCTTTTTGCTCACCCTCTTACCTAATCGAAGATAATGCAAGTCTTTTGTCACCCATTAATTCATCTGTCTGTCTTTCTGCCCCCCTGTTGCCTACCCGACAAAACCTGTCTTTTTTTTTTAAAAAATCTAATTATATATATTGTTACTGAAAATATATATATTTATAGAGAGAGAGAGAGAGAGAGAGGGGGGGGGGGAGATGTGGGTGTTTGTCCAAATGTATGTTTACCTATCTGTCTGCCTTTTTAATGCTTGTTTATTCTTATTTCCATCTATGCATCTTTTTCTCCTGCCCTGGCACCCATATGTCCATCCCTACACCTTACTGTAGCGCTACGAAACTGTTGTTACCTCAACATGGAAACGGACGCCATTTGCCTGCAGCTAGCACTTATTCAATAATTCCTACTCTACAACCGTCCCACATTTGTAGCACAAAGCTAACAGCGGCTGACAAGGGACTGTCGATCCATCGACTGTAAGAAGATTGAGATGTGGATGAAATCGGCGCTACTGCCGACTCTGCCCATCAAATGAATGGAAAACTAATCCACGCTTCGCACTGTGACATTCTGTACTTGATCGCTATGTTTGTTAGGCTAGGGAAAAATTACTGTTATTAGGAAAACGATTTCAGGTTTCGGCGTATTTTGGTGGAATGTCAGGCGTGATAAATGAAACAAACAGAGAGCGGTGCAGTGCGATGTGGGCAGAAAAACATTAATTACTGGAGAAATTATGTAGCCAGTGTAGAGTGCCACAGAACATTCCAGGGCACACAGCGAGAAGGTTAGAGAAGTGAGTATATAGGTGAGAATGTTAGAGAATATTGCATGAAAAGGATCTTAACTCAAGTAAGCCAGCTTTGTAAAGACTAAAGTTGTGTGGTACCGGTAGTAGCAGCAGCAGCAGAAGTAGTACATAGTAGTAGTAGCAGCAGCAGCAGAAGTAGTGGTGGTGGTGGTGGTGGTGTACTGGTGGCTGAGATGGTGGTGGTGTCGCTGGTGGGGGTGTCCGTGGTGGGGGTGTCGCTGGTGGGGGTGTCGCTGGTGGGGGTGTCGCTGGTGGGGGTGTCGCTAGTGGGGGTGTCGCAGGTGGTGGTGTCGCTGGTGGTTGAGATGGTGGTGGTGTCCCTGGTAGGGGTGTCGCTGGTAGGGGTGTCGCTAGTGGGGGTGTCCCTGGTGGGGGTGACACTGGTGGGGGTGTCCCTGGTGGGGGTGTCGCTAGTGGGGGTGTCCCTGGCGGGGGTGACACTGGTGGGGGTGTCCCTGGTGGGGGTGTCGCTAGTGGGGGTGACACTGGTGGGGGTGTCGCTGGTGGTTGAGATGGTGGTGGTGTCCCTGGTAGGGGTGTCGCTGGTAGGGGTGTCCCTGGTGGGGGTGTCGCTAGTAGGGGTGTCTCTAGTGGGGGTGTCCCTGGTGGGGGTGACACTGGTGGGGGTGTCGCTAGTGGGGGTGTCGCTGGTGGTGGTGTACTGGTGGTTGAGATGGTGGTGGTGTCGCTGGTAGGTGTGTCGCTAGTGGGGGTGACACTGGTGGGGGTGTCGCTAGTGGGGGTGACACTGGTGGGGGTGTTGCTGGTAGGTGTGTCGCTAGTGGGGGTGACACTGGTGGGGGTGTCGCTAGTGGGGGTGACACTGGTGGGGGGTGTTTGCTGGTAGGTGTGTCGCTAGTGGGGGTGACACTGGTGGGGGTGTCGCTAGTGGGGGTGACACTGGTGGGGGTGTCGCTAGTGGGGGTGACACTGGTGGGGGTGTCCCTGGTGGGGGTGACACTGGTGGGTATGTCGCTAGTGGGGGTGACACTGGTGGGGGTGTCCCTGGTGGGGGTGACACTGGTGGGGGTGTCGCTAGTGGGGGTGTCACTGGTGGTGGTGTACTGTTGGTTGAGATGGTGGTGGTGTCGCTGGTGGGGGTGTCGCTAGTGGGGCTGACACTGGTGGGTGGGTCGCTAGTGGGGGTGACACTGGTGGGGGTGTCGCTGGTAGGGGTGTCGCAGGTGGTGGTGTACTGGTGGTTGAGATGGTGGTGGTGTCGCTGGTGGTTGTGGTGGAAAAAGAAGAGTAGAAGTAGTAAACGATCCTGTTCTGAAGATTGAGCTAAAAACGGGGCACCGCACTAAAAAATTTTAGAACCCCCTTCCCCCCCCCCCACCCGCCCCTCTCCCGCCCCTCTCCCGCCTTTCCACGTTTTTCACACCAAAAACGGGACGTATGGTCACCCAATGTAGAATGTGAATGCCTTTTGGGTCAACAACGACACAATTAGAATACACACAGGCATTGGTTCATTTATGCACAACCAACTGGCACTCATCAGAAAGGCATAAAATAAAGCAGGGGACAGACAGATGAAGTAGAGAGTGATTCAGCATGTAATAGTCGCTCAGTCGTCTCCAGGGTGATACTGGGGTTAGTGCGGGCTGGTGCTGAGGAGGGATTCCATCACTACCGGGGAGAGTCCATGTTGCGGACGCTTGTTCTTATAGGGAGCTAAATGTGGCAGGGACACTTAGCAAGTCGATGTGGGAGGGAGAGTCCATATACAGGACACATGTTCTTATAGGGAGCCGGGCGTGTCAGGGAGAGTCTATATACCAGACACATGTTCTTGTAGGGAGCCGAGCGTGTCAGGGAGAGTCTATATACCAGACACATGTTCTTATAGGGAGCCGAGCGTGTCAGGGAGAGTCCATATACAGGACACATGTTCTTGTAGGGAGCCGAGCGTGTCAGGGAGAGTCCATATACAGGACACATGTTCTTATAGGGAGCCGAGCGTGTCAGGGAGAGTCCATATTTCGGACACATGTTCTTGTAGGGAGCCGAGCGTGTCAGGGAGAGTCCATATACAGGATACATGTTCTTGTAGGGAGCCCAGCGTGGCAGGGAGAGTCCATATTTCGGACACATGTTCTAATAGGGAGCCCACTGTGGCAACGAGGGCACCCTTAACTGTCGGTCGGGTGGTTAAAGGTTTGGATCCCACTCAAGGCCACAAATTGTATAAAGCTCGCATGAGCTTTAGGAGTGAAGTAACCTAACATAAATACCAGAAAATGCTCTGGGAAATAAAGGTGACAGGCGCGATATTGTTACATGTCTATTGAACCCACTATGGGACTTGCACCATGAACTCAATAAGTTTCAGGATATGGGAAAGTACCGTGACACTTCGATGTGTTTATTTCTTTGATTGAGCACCTCTATAACTATGACGTTAGAGCTCGTAAATCCCCGTTATCGGTATTAAGCTTAAGATAGAAAAATCTTGCAAAGAGCATATACTTAGTACCTACACCGTGTCTGTTGTTCCTAAGCTTGTGCTCGTTTTGTTTTTAAAAACAATAATAAATAATAAAAACAGAGCAAGGTATGCTTCTGTCTGCATACTATGTCATCGTTTGAAATGATGTTCCTAATGTAACAGGCGAGGGGAAAAGGGAGGAGGGGGGAGGGGGAATTGTCCTCCATGGAGAAGTGGTCGAGTCGTTTGCCTCAGTCTCTGAAGGTCGTGGCTTCGCTACAAGGATGCGCACTTCTGTTCACGAGTGTCGTTTTAACGGACATTGATGAAGATCATCGCTGAAGCTATGGAGGTCGTCCTCTGAGCGATGCTCTCGGCAGGTGACTAGCAGTTCTACGGAGAAAGAGACTGAGCCATGTGAGATACAACACGTTGCAATGAAGTCGATCCTTTGGACTTGAAACGATGTAATAGGACGTTAAAATTCTAGAGAAAAAGAAAAGAGGAGAAGCAGAAGAGGACGTGGAAGAAGAGGATGACGAGGAGTAGATGAAGACGAGGAGGAGGATGGTGAAGAAGCAACTGCAGTAGACTCAATGAGTACAGTGTGTGATCATCTACAATACAGAAACCAGTACATTACTCTTGAGATTAAATAGTTCACAAGCATTGATTTATACAATACAAAGAACAGAGCCAGAAATCAGACCATGGATAAAGTAGGTGAGTAAATCTACAGAAAACATCAGAGGTCCGATCGATCATTAATTACTTTACCACAACACCTACTCACTGAAGGAACAAAAGTACTCTTAACAAGTATTCTTAGCACTGCACTTCGGTAGCCGCGTCTGTTTCGTCACCTTTTGGAGAGCTCTCATATTTTCGGTCCCTTTCTAGGCATTCGTTCTCAATG